ACAAATTATCTATGTTTTTCTATATATTTAATTTTGTATTCAATTACTTTTGTGTTGAAACTTCATATATTCTGACCAACCTTATCTATGCTTGCAAGAATATGGTTATTTATTTAGAGTTTAACATACTTTATACATTCTTTAGAAAAAAAATTATTTTTAAAGAATATTTTATTTTTATTTAAAATATTTAATATGCACTTAATTTTTTCTTAATTATGTAATTTTTTTTGTAGAAAATATTTTTTCAATTTTTTTATAAATGCAACATAATCACCAATAGATATATATATATATATATATATATATATCCATTTCAACACATCAAATTACATCTCATATACATTATTTTAATAAGTTGTTTAGAGAGGAGAGAAGGGAGGGACAACTCATCCAACTATTTATTTATTTATAATTTTTTCAACCAATCATAATCATTTCTGAAAGTGCTATGTATTTTATTTTGTTTACATATGTTTGGTTTATGGTTAACTTTGTGGACGGCATGACTAAAGAGAGAGCATGTATCAAAGTTTAGATTTTGTCTACACTTAAACTTAAGTTGAATTTCAATAACTCTTTTCAGCCTACACCAAGGTTTTTTTTTAAATCCTAATGGATACTAAATTCAAATTTAATCAAGTAACTTTCATCATACAAAGTTCCATTCATCCACTTATTAGGTGGGAACACCAGAGTAGTTGAAATTATACCAAATGGACACTGAAAGATAGAAACCATCAATACCATCATTCAACCAGCAAGTCTTCATGTGTTTGAAGTTTTTTATTTTTATCTTTTATCCTCCAAAAGTGTACACAAAAGAATATTAATACAACATATACAACTATGTTGGTGCTCCCATCCAATTATGATGAAATGATGCTCATGTTTGAGTAGTCAATATACAACATTAAAAGAAATGTTTGCACATCACACTACTTTTTTTTTTTTTAATATATAGTAAAAAAAAAATCATTCTGGAGTGGTGCATTGAAATTCTTCTATTTTCCCCTTTCAATCATTCAAAAATGGTGTTGAAATTCAAAAGGCTGCTACATCACTTTTCAAATATTACTTTTTCTTCGCCCTCACTTGACGAAGCTTCCGGTATTTTTCAATGCTTTGAATTGGATGCAAAGATTCATTGAAATCAAACCCACATGCTTGTACATGGAAAATAAATATAAATATAAACGTTGATAATTCACCAAGACAATGGGTGTGAGCGAAGTCACTGCTTCTCAATGCGCCAATAAAGCCTGGAAGATTCGTTCACTCCTTGCCATGTCAGCTTGCGTTAACCTTGTTCCTATGAAAACAAACAAGCTATAAAAAGATTAAAAATATAAAAAATAAAAAATAAAAAATAAAAAAATTGAATATAGAACATTAAACAATGGAGGATGATTCTAATTGGAATACAAAGCTGGTATTTTACTACTCTTTTGTGACCCCGAAGGCTGGATTCTACTCTTCATAGATTACTGCACCCATGGATTGCTTGTGTTTGAGAAAGTTTTGTGTTCATTTTATTAGTTTAGAAGCAACCAACAATCATTGCACAGAATCACACAGAAGAGGAGCAAGTGGTGATGATGTGTGCCGCAGAACAAGCAGTGGATCGATGAAATCCACCTTGGGCGGATACTGTTCCTGGAAGCAAGTTAATATCTAGGTAACTCCTTTTTCACTCCGAGGAATTAACGAGCGAGTGTAGTAAACAGCAACCAGCATGAGAGCCGTCATCTCGTGATCACTTTGCCAGCAGGAACGTCGGTTTTGTTTCGATGAGAATGAAATCACTTCAATCACCGAACAAGACGCTCCGCTCCTTCGAATGTCGATGAGCCTGGGCGTTGAGGACGTGATAGGGAAGGCCTCATGCACCTCATGCACCTTCGAATTCCTACGCAGCTATGAGGAGTGTGTCTTTGTTTGTTTGTGTTTTTTTTTTTTTTTTTTTTTTTTTTTTAACACCGACCCATCAGTCATTCGAATAGGACAATTGCATCCGACGAACTCCCGAGTCGAGGCGAGGGGAAGTCAGCGCCAACTGGATGCGGAGTATCGCGGTCCACACCAACCCCGACTTGCCCACATCATTGGGTTGCGACTAAGCAATGGGAGCCCAGCTCGTAGTCCTCGCGGGGATTGACTGGCATTTTGAGGTGATGAACAGCCACATCCCTCAGCTACCCAATCATTTTTTCTCCATCAAGGAGCGGCAGGATAGTCCATGTGCCCAGGGACACCTCCACTTTTCCGTAGGTTTTTAGTGTGCCGGTATGGGCTTAGTGTGAGACAATATTTTTGCAGTCCACATGCAAATCGCCTGCGCAGATCCGTCACAGCCTATCAATACAAAGACATGCGTCCCGAGGACGAGAACCGAATGAACAAATGGGAGCCATCTCACTGTCACCATCCGATCCATGTCGGTGGTCAGCACCATCTCACAAAAGTCTGGATGAATCCCACTTTCCAGTGCGCTGGTGATTGTGCCACTCTCTCCATCGCGGCACGGAAATCACGCTTCACCGAAACATGTGAGTAGGTTTGTCCACGGAAGCATCGATTCAACGGTCGAATGCGCTCCTGCTTCTTCTTCTTCTTCTTCTACTTCTTCCTGGTTTCTGCACAAAGTTATGACCCGATTTGTGAATGTTCCATTGTGAAATCAGTCAGTAAAGAATCTGAATACCGATACCCACTTTCTCAACGGTTAAGATTCAGCGCAGACTGATGTGCAAGGAGTGGTGAAAAATTATTTTCGCATATTTAAAAAGAAAAAAGATGCAAGTTTTAACCCTAAAATATAAAAGCTGTGAACGGAGACCGACCAGGTGCCACCCGAGAGAAACTGTCATCCACGTCGGACTATTAGTGATGTGCTGGATGACGACGTGAGGACAATCCGGACCTTTTTGGGGTAGGTTTACGATGTGCTACCGCCAGAAATGCGATTAACTAACGGGTTCCAGTTGGAGTCGTGGATGTCAGTGTGAACGCGACAATTGAGGCCATTACGGAGCCCTGCTGGACGACTTGTTCAGGAGACTCGCCACAGTGGACGTGAAGACAGTGTTGCCGACTCGGATTCAGGACCCTTCGATGGAAGTGTTCTCGATCGACGGCTCCCAGAGCGCCGCGGTCACCGATCCGATTTCAAAGGGGGGTGGGGAACTTGGAAGGCTCGTTTCAGACTGTGGAAGCCCTAAACTGCAATATTGAATGGGATTGGACTCATGTGGGTGGCAATATTCGAAGTACGTTCTCTCTGTTCTTTTGTAACAGAATATAATGATCTTATGTTTTGAAAAATTAGTAGGACATTTAGATTTTAAAAGAAAATATATTAATAAATAAATAATTGTAATCTTGATGTCCATGAATCCAAATAAGAAGAAGACATTCAATATAAAATGTACAGAGGAAACTTACATTTATTAATGAGTAAAGTACTTCCCCAAAACTTTTTTTTTAGCAATTTCTAAATTCTTATCTTTTGCAACACAATTATCAAAAATTAAAAACTTTGTACAGTTATATTCAAAATATTGGATGCTTAAAACATATAGGTGATGAGTCGATAATAATCATACTATCAACATGAAATTTCTATATTTTTACCGACTTATGTGTATTTTCAGATTTTTATCCTTTAAATTCTTAAATTGAGCACTAAATACAAGTGAGAACACTTAAATAATTATAACTCTTGATTGCTTATAATTTTTTTCCATCAAACTAATTGAGTAGTTTTGAGTAAATGGGATATATATATATATATATATATATATTGTAAGTAAGTAAGTGAGTAAATTATACACTATGATTTTATTTTTTTCAACTATTTTTTCATTAATTATTCCAATGCTCTACTTATGGTACCATAAATGCAAAAATCAATCCATTCATGTGCAATAACATACATTTGCCATACATGATCAATTATAGCTAATAATAAAACTATAGGGGGTAAGATAACCCAGTGTGGTGTAAGCTTAGAGTATAACCATGGCATGGTGACTAGACCCCATGGTGACTAGCACAAGGGGAGCACACTCCAGCTCATGTGTTGGTCATGAACTCTAGAGCTGGCTCAGCAATTGTTAATTTTGTCAAACCATCATAATCTTCTTTAAATCACCTTATTAGAAAAAAAAACAAAATAAAATGGCCATTCATTCCAAGATTAATATTGCTTACCATTTTCTTGTGGTTGAGCCTTCATGTAGATATTTTGCCATTTCATGACCTTATAACCAACCAAAACTTACAATTTTCAAACAATAAGGGAGGAAGTAAGGAAAGATCTTACATGAGAGACTAATAATGAAGAAGTGGATGAGATATGCACACAAGTTCTCATATTAGTCAAAATTATTTATTTATTTATTTATTTTACCAACAAAAATATTAAGAGATATCTTTGGAGACATGTTTAAAGGAAAAACAAATACAAAAAATACAAAAAAAATAAAAAATAAAAAACAAAAGAAGTCAACAAGAATCCACAATAATTGTCTACACAACAAGAGAAAATAATTAACATGCATACAAATATCAATGGCTACCACTAGAATTGCAAATGAACACATTCCATTGCCACTGCCAAAATTATGTAGCAAACCATGAAAGAATTCCTCAGAGCTGGGTGTACCACTGCATGAAAAGAAAAGAAAAAGAAAAAGATGAAAGGGAAAGAAAAGATAAGAAAAGAGAAGAGAAGAAAGAAGTGAGGGAAAAAGCTCTCTGAGAAGGTGGGGCCACGTGGAGCGAGCTGAGTGGCCAGGCAGGAGACTATCGAGCCTCGATGTGAACAGGTGCATTACGGAACCGGGTGCCAGTGCGGCAAAGGCTCGAATCCCCATGCTCTCTGCCATGTGGAAGCTCCAAGCGTTCAGAAACGGGGTTACGCGGGAACTTCTTCTTCTGATCTGCCCCCACCGAAGACCGAGCCATTCCATCCCATTCCTTAAGGATTGCCACTTTGTTACCCACAAATTTGTTGCCACAAATTGGGTCTCCCTCCCTAGATTTGATGAAAGCTATAGTTTAAAGCCTGTTTGATGGTCGATCAGTTTCAGTACTAAAACACGAGTTGAAAGTCAAAGTGTCCCTGGTATTTGCACTTGAGCTGTTCTGGGTTCCTGGAAAAGAACACACAAAAACACAAAAGATTTTATTTCATTTATTTTATTTCATGTTTTCAGATTCATCGTTCGCTGTGTGTGTGTGTGTGAGAGTGAGTGAGAGAGAGGTTCCTGGGAAGGTTGTGGGTGGAGAGGGAATTGAAGGACGGTGAGATGGTCGGGTAGGCGGTGCAGCAGCGGAGAGTACTGGTTTTGAGTAGGGGAAGGAGTGACGACCCCCCAGGTCACGCGTGGTGGGCTGTGGACTCGAGAGTGGGTTTCGTGGATGTTTGGTTGAGCTGGGGTTTTTAATGTCGAGTGTGCCTATTCTAGTTCGAGATAAAGTTGCGGCGTTTCTGAGCTACGCTAGCTGCACCTCGTGAAGACAAGCGGTTCGGCCTATCCAGTGATTAAAGTTTGGCAACTTGTAGAGCGGAATGTTGCATGTATTCGGAATTGGCAACCAACTGGAATCACCACTGCAGTGATCCTGGACGGGCTTTTATGATTCGTCGAAGTTGAATTTCTTTGTGGAAGAGTGTAGAACTTGGAAGTGATTTCCGGATTTGTTTCACGAATGCCCACGACTTTCTAGTTTAGTGATGCTCTTGAAAGGGGTCGAAGAGAAAAGTATAAGGTGGATTCGATGATTCTGAATATTAGATCTAAGATAGAAGCTGTAAGCGATTGTGAGTTTACAGACGGAGCTGCGACACACGAATCTCCATTAGCTTAAAGTTTTCCTCTTAGAGAGCTTCAACTCCGTGATGTTATGAAGGTTCAAGCAACAACAGTACTAGATAGCAGACGCTTCCTCGATCTCCAGACAATGATTTCAGACTGTCAATTTGCAGTGGATGGTGCAAAGTGAAATTGACACGAATTGCGATCTCATTGCTACATCTTTCAATCTGATTAAGTTTCCACAACTCAACGCGACTCGATCAGGACTACATCATCGAGTTGTCGCTGGTTGGGATATGATTTGCGTGTGGAACCAGCCAGAAAGAATTGACAAGCTGGAACCAACTGACCCTCCAGATTTCAAACTGACGCCCCCGAGCAGTTTTCGAGACCTCGCCACTGGCCAAATGGCTGGGGTCTCCACCATGGTATCCAATTTTCCACTACCCTTAGGGACATCGGCTTACTCGAATGCTCTCAGCGGATTTTCAAATGCGGCGCAATATACCAACTACTGGGGAAGCAACAACCCTCTCAATCCGAATCCCACTGATGAGGGCTTAGGCGCTGCGATCACAGGTCACAAGCGGTTACGCTCCGAGAAATCTGATCCTTTCTCCTCGCACTATGCCGCTACATGGAATTATCCTTCAGCTTCCCTCATCGCTGACCACTCGAACATCGTGGGAAGCAGCATGTCGGTGGATTTGGCATCACGCGCAAGTGAAGAGATGTCGTGGGCAGCTCCCCTTGGGGAAGTCGTGAAGAAGGCAACGGAGAGATCGTCACCCCCGCGGTGCACAGGCAGCCCAAGCAACACGCAGGACCAATACAGCTCGGATTCGGGAATTCTTCATTCGGATTACGTTGCCAGTTTACCCTTCTCACTTCCACACAATGAAGGTACTACAATTCTTTCAACCTCTTAACATCTCGTGAATTCATATTCGCCACGTCCTATTGAGAGAATTTTCAAACGAATTTTTATTACACCCGACAATTAGCTTTCGATTCCAAGGTTTCGTCGGAGCAGCCGCAGCGGTAAATCAGGTGACGGAATTTGGCACGAGGTAGACTGGAGAACTTGCAAACGATTCTTCATCGTGGGATATCTGTCAACTTAATTCACGCCATGTTAGCCTTGGAATTTCTGAGAAGCTAGAATTGGAAACGCCCGCTTACGTCAATAATGTCAGCGGAAGTAGGTTAGCATTGGTGCCACTAGTTTAAAATTCATCGACGGTGAGGTATCCTGCTCTATCATCGGAGGAAGAAGCTGAAACTGCTCCATGCATCAATCACTGCTTTTTTACTGTTTTATATTTATCCGTTGTTTGTAATTTTTTTTTTGATAGATAACGTGTCCATCCAACAATAATCTCTGTCTCGTAATATTCTCATATTAAGTAATTTTGAAATTTCAAGTATCTGAACAAAATGTGGAGGAAACTCTCCATGATGATGAGGTTTTCGGAGCACGGTGATAGAGCAGGGTCTCTCACCTTCTGCAGTTTCTGCCTATTCACTGTGGTGTGGGCCGGGCCTGACGAAGATTCCTTCTGAATTTTCTATTTGCGGTGGCGTGTGATTTTGTCCATTGAAAAGTGATCCAATCGAACTAAGCACGAAGAACTTGAAGCAGATTTCATTTGTCATTCGGATTCTAGTTCATATCTGTGTCGTCCGGCAAGATTAGTCGTTCCTCTCGAGGTTGATCATCATATAAGCGGAGAGGGCGTGGTTGTCTTTTGCTGCAGATCCTCAAATGCGCAAATCAAGTGGGTTAGAGCAGTTGGAAGGAGGAGGCAGCCACCCGGGTGAACGAAGTGGGCAAGGTAGCGAGGCGACGCCAACACCCTCCCCGTCACCGCCAGTGAAGAAGCGGAGGTATCGCGGCGTGCGCCAGCGGCCGTGGGGGAAGTGGGCAGCGGAGATTCGCGACCCTAAGAAAGCAGCTCGCGTCTGGCTGGGCACGTTCGATACGGCGGAGGATGCAGCGATGGCGTATGATATCGCTGCTACCAAATTCAGAGGCTTAAGAGCAAAGCTGAATTTCCCCGACGGAAAGATCCCGAGCACACGTTCCGCCTCCGCCACCACCATTTCTCCCACTCCCGTTTCCAATCCCGCTCCTGCCTCGAATCCTCTACCGCAGACCGACCCATACTCTAAGCGATGGACATCACAAGCTGCTCCAGCCACAGAATCTTCGCATCATAGCGCTAAGGAATTATCCTGGAACTCGCAGATTCGGCCCTCTGTTGATCCCCACCCGATGATGTTCACCAATGCAGGAGCTAATTCACTGCAACAGGATCATAGCCCTGGGCAACCATCACAACAGCCGCAATCGACCAGCAGCAGCAGCTTGTGGTCCTCACGGGCTGTGCCTCCTTCGCCTCTGCCACTTCCTCCCTCCCCATGGCAAAACATTTCTATCCTGGAGTCGCAAAATTTCCAAATGTCTCAAGAACCACAGAACTATCATCACCGGGCTCAGTACTTGCAACTAGATTCGAGATTACACATGAATCCGCACCATATAAGTCCTGCTGATGAGTATTCACGATTCAACTTGGGAAGTAGAGATTCAGGTCCAGGAGACGAGCTTTCGCTTGAGCAAATCATTGATCAAGGGTCGAGTCCATTGCCGCTGTGGAGCCCCAGAGAGGTGCCATCACCGGGTAGCTTCCCCTTTCTGTTACAGTTTCCAGATGAGCAACCCCCCCCTCCGTACTAGGAACGCTATAAAAAAGATTAGGGTTAGGATCGGACATTGAAAATTACAAATAAATAAATTACATTATTCCCTCTCGCAGTGAACTGTAAGCCTTGATTGTATTCACCATTACACTGGTGACGGCCCGTGTAGTTCCTCTCTGTGTCATGGTTTCGCAAACGGATTAGCAAAGAAACTGAGCTCAGTTTTTCCTGCCTGACCCTTTTCATTGTCGTCCAAAGGAAGACACCCAATCACCCCATCATTGCCATCCAATAGTGAAATTCTGTTGCATGCGACTGTGCATGTCCTTCTCCCTCGTGATCGAATCTATGGCCACCAGAAGCATTCCTCCGGATAGGATCGAGGTGTGGATTGCGGCTCTAGAAAGCGATCCACACGAGCAGTACTTCTACGCTTTTTAGAATTCAATGCCATGGAACATCAAAGAACCCATTCAAGGTGCTCGAATACTGCGCAGTCAACGCATCCAATTCCAGTCACTTGGACAAACAACCAGCTGGCAGATCTTATTAGTGCACCCGTAATCATCTATCTTTTCGTTAGGCCCTCCTAATCAATCACTCCCAATGATGTTCCACGCACCCCTCTCTCAGTCAAACCTATTCATTTTCACAGAAAGTTAAAATCCCTCTGCATATCACTCTGAAGTATACGCAAAACACTGCTCATTTTCAGGCGAAATATCCACAGGATGAGGTTGCACTTGGCGTGTTTTGGTCAAGTCGGATAGGTGTGGATGCGGGATTCAAGTTTTTCGCATTTCTCCAACGGGCTCTGGGCACTTAATTTGACAATCTAAAGTCAGAAACGTTGTTGTTGAAGAAGACGAAAAATGAATATGATTAATAAGTGAAACTTGTGGAGGGAAGTAAATCCCAGTGAAATTGCAGAGTGATGAAACAGCAGTTGTATAATCCAGAATGGAAACGCCTGGATAAATTTTCGATCCACCTTTTGCATGTTTGCCACCCATTCGGAGGTAGCGTGGACACCATCTTAAACGGCTCTCGAGATTGGGCTAGTCTTGCATGAGTTCGTTTGCTTCTTCAAAACACTCTCTGTATTTATTTATTTGTTTGAAACGAAACGCTGCTGTCATGGATTGGGTTTCGGGCCTAGGATGGTTGGATTGCGACCACGGTTTTTCCACTCCGGATGTAAAGGCCGTTCATTGTCTGGACCCAGCACGATGCGACGTTACTCTCGTACCGGTGACACTCGGGAATGTAACGGTGCATCGATGAAGGCCTCGCTTTGTGAACCGTCTTGACGGGTCAACTGGTTCGTGACTTCGGCACTAGATTTGGATCAGAAGTTTACGAGGGTGTAGAAGTTGAATAGCTGACACCCCATTGTTCCTTCACGCGTGGTATTGGAGTTCAGAATGGGAAGGCGTTCGGTGGAAACAGCCCTGGTGGAGTAAATCTGAGCAGATCGCGTGATAGCATATGAATTGCTTCCTAGATTAGAGCCTGCGTCACGCAAGCTGTGTGAGAAGATGACCATCCAGACGGGTCCTGACTGATAAGTCGCGCACGTAGACACCCATTCCTCCTTCCTTCCAATATCTGCGCTGGAGACGAAGACGACGACGACGACGATCGTGACGATGACGAAGGTTACTGCGACGATGACGGTGATGACGACGACGATGACGAAGTTGACGATGACAAAGATGACGATGAAGAAGATGACGATGACGAAGATGACGATGAAGATGACGATGACGAAGATGACGATGAAGATGACGATGACGAAGATGAGGATGAAGAAGATGACGATGACGACGACGACGACGACGACGACGAACGATTTTGGTAACCGTTCGTATTTTAACTAAAATATGAAAAAAAAACAAATATACCGGAAAGTATCATATATATGTATGAGAAATGCATAGCTCAGTACTTGATGGAAAAATATTATTCAAAAATAAATAATCTAAGTAAAAATAATATACCACTACAGAAAGTGTGTTAATAATTATTGTACAGAAATGTGGTATTCGTAGAATAATGTTTGAAATTGCAAAGAATTAAATTTATTATCAAATTAATATAAATTATGGTTAGTTTGATAGAGTATTTATTTATTTATTTATTTATTTAACTAAGAGTTTTGAGAAAACAACACATGGTGCTAAAAAAAGAGTATTTTACTTTGGTCGTCGTCACTGTTTGTCTCTTTGTCTTGTTGTACAAGCTTTGATTCTTTTGTTACAAAGAATCTTCAATCAGCGAATAGTTTATAGGAACCAGCCAAGTAAAAGTGGTTCATGAGGATCAGAGACTTCCCAACACTTCATCTGCATTCCTTTGCCTCAACTCTTCACAACGTGAAAACGGAGCCCATGCTTCACCTTTGTAACAAGCTTTGCACTTGTTTTCTCATCTCTTCAATGAGCTTACGCAAAGGTCATGAGTAGCAAGAAGGTCAAACCACCAACGGGTAACAAGTAGCACCAAAAGAATGCCAAATATAGCACGGCATGCATGTATTGGCTGTTCGAATCCCAATCAGGCCTGATGGATCCCAGTTCAGGGGAGTAACCTCTTGCAATTTCGATTCAGAAAAACAAAAAAAAACATGGGTTGTGAGTTGCAAGAGGGGATTGTTTGAATGCATCCAACTTTAAACAGTTGTAAACTTAGCAGGTTGTGAAACCCGACTATCAGCCATGGAAACTTGAGCATCAAGGTAACAGAACTGGGTACATGTTAATGGACGTGAAGGAAGCAACCTGAATGCTCAGGAGGAATGTGTGAAGAAATGTCTAATTGCAGTTACAACATGCTGACGATAAATCCGCAGTTCAGAGGGTAGAGGTCAACTTACAGCTGACTATACTCTGCTGAAGCCCTCACCGGTTATACTAGTCGTCGAGCTTGAAGGATTCAATCAAAAATGATCCGTGAATAGATCAGTCGCATTAATCGCCCTCTGGTTACTCTGTTTGAATTGTCACCTCATGACTCCGGATGCGCTTTGTTGACTGAAGTATTTTGAACTGCGTTACAAACACGATGTTGAATGTAGCTGGCGAATGGCGATATTAGACCATCGACCTTTGAAAAGCTCCCAAAACCGCTTTTTTGTATTGTGGATTTTATTAACTTCGGCGATATTTTAAAGAAAATATTCAAAACTTCGAATCTAAACGTGTCTTGGTGTATCCGCAGTTTGACTTGAATTCTTAGCGCATGCCTGTATAACGACCATGGTGTGTTAAATTATTTGATGCCTGGGCATTTCGGCCATAGAGATGATTTCCCATTGTTCATGGAAGTGAAGTGAGAAGATTAGTAGACATGAGAGCTGGAATTTGGGTTGGGGTTGTGTGTGAGGGTGAGGTGCAGGCTTCCATCTCTGGAGCGTGGTCGAGCCCGCAGGCAATACTTGTTCAGGTGGGCACTTGGGGGTGCGCGGTGAGCCTTGGAGTCAGATGCGAACAGATTGCGGCCCAATATCGCTGGAGTGCCAGCGGACAAATGATATAAAACGTGGATAGCGGAAAATCTCGATCACATCGAACGGGTCTGGCAACGGCCGCTCTGGCAGAATTTAGAATGTTGAAGTGTGCCGATCTGCCTCTATGGAGGTGTTCGGCACGAGCCCGTGCGACGAATGTGCGGGGATAACTCAATTGGGGTATTTTACTCAACACCCAGTCCACAACCCTTGGACAAGCGTAGAAACGTGACATCGACCATGAAGGTCTTACCAAGGGCACCTCGCCCGAAAAAGCGCTTGTGGCGCGGCAATGTAATTCAGTACAACTTTAACCGCGGAGCAGATTACAGCTCAGTTCGGAGAGCGAGAGGAGCACGGAGAGGAGCAGATAGTACGGGAGACACGACCCCTCGATTAGCATTGGCACTGGATCACGAAATGTAGTACAGCAAACCCCCCGTCCCCTCAAAACAGTGTACGCAGACCACCAGTCCTTGAGACAGGTAGTCGGCTAATCTCCAAGGTTACCCACTAAAACATGGTTAGAAAGATATTAGGGTACTAATACGGAAGACCTAATGGCGATGACCCAAAGCGCTATTCCCTCCTTGGGGTACTAGCGCTCAAAAAACCAGCCAAGGCCATACCCGAGTACTAACCCTGATTGCATCAGAGCCCTGTTTTTAGATAGGTACGGCCCCGCTGAAAGTAAAACCAACTAGACGCCTCCGCAACCCAGCCACTCACTGGCCAACGTTGTAGCACAGTCGAAATGCAACCGTGAAACGCTACGGATTACCTTTTTTTTAGAGGAGTGTCAACTCATTGAGGTGATACGTGACGAAACGATGCAATTCACAGTCATCGGCTACATTGCAGGCACCAGCCGAGGACAACGTGTGGTGAAGTGTTGAAGTAGTACATCGCAAGCACCAACCCATGGGCTACTTCAACACTTCACTACATGCTAAAGACCTGCACCCTAGTCGGCAATAGCTTCTTCGAAGCCACCTTCTCCGACACGGAGGGCGTTCAACACACCCTCAACACCTCGGTCATCCATGAAGGTAAGGAAGTACCCTTCACCCTATAGACCCCATTATTTTCAGCAGATAACAGGGAAACATACAAGCTCCTTGTATTTCTAGTCTGGATTCAGTTTCTAGGACTGAGTCACTACATGTGACAAGAGCCTTGTCTCCGAAACATGGCCTCTCGACTGGGAGAGGTACTGTTCTTAGAAGAATCCTCTTCATACGCGCACAAAACGGCTTGACCAAGAATCAGAATCCAAGTCCAGGACGTGAACAAGCTTCCGTCTAGAATCAATTTATCAAGAACGTCCCCAGCGGCTCCACTCATACACAAAGTCATTGTAACGGGACATCCACTCTAGTGTACCAAGTGCCAAACATTTGGACACTAAGCCTTAGAGTGTAAACCAAGACTATTCAATGGGGGAAAAGAGAGACAAGCCCCTTGTAGAGAACAAAGAAACTACCAGCCCCATCGGATGCCACGGAACACTCAGAATGGAGGAAGGAGACTACCCACACAAATGACAACATCAAAGCAGAAGAAAGATCTTCCTCACATCAACACACAAGAACAATGTTCTAATCCGATCCCACTAACAACACACAAGCTGAAATCAGTAATCATACAAGAAGGAAGCT